ACTGAGAATGGTGCTGAGGACTACTGAGAATGGTGCTGAGGACTACTGAGAATGGTGCTGAGGACTACTGAGAATGGTGCTGAGGACAACTGAGAATGGTGCTGAGGACTACTGAGAATGGTGCTGAGGACTACTGACCTTCTGTTGTGTGTTTGATACGTATCCGTTGTTGGTGGAAGTGTTGAGTATAATGGCGGACAAGTCGACGACCCTCTTCTCTGCTTCAGAAACGAGAGCATCCAGTCTGTCTGACCGACTGTTGACATACTTCTGGACTAAAGATCAGACATGATTTAATTAATTAATGGTAACAATTGGTAGCCAAGCGTTTTGAAATTACAAAATGATTATCAGATTGGTTATAGTAAAATGAAATGATCACACGTTTGTTGTTTGTGATTTTCCAAAGTGACCATAAATTTGCTAAGGGACATTTTGTGACTGAATTTGTACTCAAAAGTAACCATACATTCCTAGGTTGACAGTTTCTCATACCCTTTATATTTTTTAATTTCTTGAGTGTGACTATCTTTGAAATGACATTTGAATTTGTCAAAAGATCATTCTGAAGCTTCAGTTTTGATGGAAAACATTGACCATCTGTACTTAACGTAAAAAACCCTAAGTATTTGACATTTGTACTTAGACTTACAGAGTGGACTTTCCCGAGCCCCATGTAACAGCAGCATCTTAGCCATGGGGATGTTGTTGGTCATAACCGCCACATCAAGGGGAGTTAACCCCTCACTGTTCGTACTGAAAGTAAAAAGAAGCTGTAAGTCAAATGTCACTTAAACTGATTGAAAAGTTCATTCTAAAGGTCAGGACTCAATGAATAACTTAAATTGTGTTACGAAGAATGAGGGTTAAGAATATTAAACATGAATCAAACTTGGGGGAAAGTGGGGTTTGGGGAGGTTAGGGGCAGGATGGTGATGAGTAGAGAGGGGTAAGGATGGGGTTTGTATTTCCGCAATGAATTTAATTTTACATTAGAAAAAAATATGTTCTAGTTATCACAGCCCACCTGGACATCCAAAATGAACCCCTAGACCCGTACTAACATGTATAGCGCTGTTAACTGACCTGTTGATATGTAGCCCGCCAACATCCAACACCGTTTTTGCCAGGTCTATATTCTGCTGTTCCACTGCATCAAACAGAGCTGAAATCATACAAGAAAGAAAAACTCCAAAGTCAAATTTTTGTTAGTTTTCAGAATATACTGAATGACCTGGCTGTTCAAAGACATGCATTTTTGTGTACCATTTAAATATGTCATCAACTTGTATGTAGTTTTTAAATGTCATAAATCTTGTGTATCTTTTAATGATGTCATGAATTCTTGTTTTCCTTTTAATATGTCATCAATTCTTGTTTACCTTTTGAAAATGTCATCAGTTAGTGTGTATCTTTTTAATTTCATCACTTCTTGCGTATTTAATAAATATTTCATCAATTTTTGTTTACTTCTTAAATATGTCATCAATTCTTGTAAATCTTTTAAACATGTCATCAAATTTTTTATGTACTTTTAAATTTGTCATCAGTTCTTGTGCACCTCTTAAACATGTCATCAACACTTGTGTACCTTTTAAATGTCATCCTTCTAGTGTACGTTCAATTCTCACATATACCTTTCAAATATGTCATGTAATCTTCTGTATTTTCTAAACATGTCACCAAATCGTGTGTATCTTTTAAACATGTCATCAATTCTTGTGTATCTTGTAAATATGTCATCAACTCTTGTGTACATTTTTATATATCATCAATTAATTTACAAAGTCCTAATTACCTTTCATAAAAGATATTATAAGATCCTCATCATAGAAAGGAAATGCGTGTCATGATAGAATTAGTCTATATCATTAAGTTGTCTCATTTTACAATGGAGGTGTTACATAAAATTGCCTGCATGACGCCACCATTGTAAAGTTACCTCTGGGTGAATTTCACACTTTAAACAAGTACATTGTAAATCTTTTAACACGTCAGTATTTAAATGTAAAGGTAATTTAATTATGACCTAGGGCTGTAACTGAGAAGCTATAATTATATATCGCCCCCTGCATGACTCCCCATAATTAAGTTACCACCCACAATGCCTTATTTCCCCACGTTTATATTTAATATCTGAATAGGGTACTAATGAGTTTATTAATGCTATCATAATTAATTGATGTCAATTAAAACTGTATGAAATTAAATCGAACCAATTGAAAGACGAGCATTCCATGTTAGATAATTACATCAACGGACATATTAACTCATACAAAAATATGATGGTTTCACATGCATGGGTCCATATAATAGCTACAATGTTTAAAAACTTTCGTTGAAGTCCATTTTATATTGTTACGTAAAAGCAGACTGGACAATTTTTAGTAAATCAAGGACCATAACTCTATCTCGTTAATATTAATGGAAACAACAGGACTATCATACCTGCATGGTTTAAGTGATTGGTAAGAAAAGTGCAAAATTCTATTAAAAATAAAAAAAAATAAAATAAAATATTTGGTGAAGTTGTATTTGTATCTATATAGACCTAGACAAGACGACCATTGGACAGATATATATATACAACAAAATTTCAGTAGTGGGTTTGTAGGGTATATATAATTTTCAGTTTGATATATAATATATATATTTTGTACCTGCATATATATGTATATATACAGCATAAACAATTCTAAATATAAACTGATTAAGTCACAGACAGCTTACTAACAAAGAAAAAATACATCTATCTTAATCTTAAATAATAATTTATCTTTTTTTCATACATACACGTAACATATACTATAATCAGAGGAATTCTCAACCACAGAGCAAGTCCACCAAAGCAAAATAACATGTTACAGGATCATTCCTAAGTTCATTTCTTACATTAGGTTATGAACAGCGTTATAAACTTACCATATATTAAATCACAGAGTGGTCGACTCCTATTAGATAAGAGGACTTACCAACAAATTGTAATTGAAGTGTTCGCTGACCAGTACAATAGAGTGCTGAAAAGTTAAGTCAGTCGAACAGGACAACAAAGACCTGTATCATCCCTCCACAAAACCTATTTATTATCTTGTACTGTCAGGTCCGTGACAAGGTCAATTACAAGTGTACAGTATAGACTGACCCTTAAGCTGATGCCTCCGGCCACTGATGACCAGTCACCGGTCATGATTAGTCTCACCTTTTCAGTCTTATCTTGACTTGGGATCATTAGCGTTAAATCCCCTTGACCAACTGTTTACCTTATCAACGGGACATTACCTTATGGAGCCTTCAACAATTCAATCGGCTAACGTTATACTTACCTAGCATTGCAGGGTGTCATGAATGACACCTGATGATGTCCAGTTTAGAATAACACTGACCACTTGACCAGTGGGCCCTACAATACTGATGACCACACCTAAACACTTGACCACCTCTAGTTATAATCCTTAAATATCACCTTTGTAAAGATCTATCCGTATAAATGTTTATCTACGAAACCAACAAACGGCATGGCAAGTGTTTGTGGAGTAAAGTTGTGAGTCATTGCTCTGCAGGGGTAGCATGCTTTGTTCAAATTCACCCCTCTGTCGTGTGATTGGTCAATTTACAGTGTTTTGTACATGTGTGCCTGTGTTCATGGATGGATGAACTATGTAACCCTCCAGGTGTGTCTCCGTTATTTTGTTTTCATCCTGCCACATCAAACGTACGGTGACAAGGTGCTTATTGACACATCATTTTGATAAATAGGGAGTAACCAAAACGTCCCCGATAGCCCCTGCTGATCAAAAGTGAACTTAAAGCAGAGATCTAGACTATCTGAGGAATGCACTTTAACCGGGTTACGGAGTATGAACAATTTAATATGATATCAATCAATGGATAGTGAATTGACAAATTTTAACGACAAATATAAATTCATTTCTTTAGATATTAATGTCTAGTAATATTTTTTTCTGGCTTAAATTCTTATAAATTGTTTAAATTAAAGGAGTCATTCACTATGAAATTTAAAAGTTTTATGATAAAAATCAATTTATTAAAAATGTATTGATAAGAAATCATCTACTGGTTCATATAATAATAACGATATCAATTAAGGAGATATAACCTTCATTTTTAATAGATTTTTTTTCATAAATATTATATATAGATTCATATTCTGATAATGATATAAATTACAGATATGATTCATTTTTTTAAATTACAACTAACTCTTTTATGATAAAAAGACTGTGATGTACGTGTGTTATAAAAAGCTATTATGAAGAACTGTTTTAAATGTATGTGTTGAAATATGACTCTGTTTAAAATGAAATAGAAATGATCGACATATGGGCAATGAGCTGACATTCACTTTAAATTGCTATACTGAACCAAACTATACACTTTTATCATCACTGATATACCTACTTGTATATACTTTCACAATATTAAGGATCCTCGGTACCACTACCAAAAATGGCCCACATCGGAAATTATTTTTCTTACATGACCATATTTAGCTTAGACAAATATTTTTTTTAAAGAAACCCATACCTTGTGAAACTCTTATGAAAATAAAAATAATAATAAAAAAAATCAATCAACAACAGCATTCTGAGTGTAAAAATGCATCAGACTAGACCAGAATTCGAACCCATGGCCTCTGACCGCCTGAAATATAGTCACTCTGATCACCTGAGATACCAGGTCAAAAGTAGTAACCTAGCTGGCCCAGTCCCGCTACAGTTACATCGAAACTGAAATTAAGGGGAGATTACTGTAGTTATGAAAAAACTTCAGTGGAACTCTCTAGTGTTTTGCCTGCAGTATGTGAGACAGAGATCCTTAACACGTGCTTTGAATATTGATACCATGTACAAAGTTTCATTGAAATCTATGCAGTATTATTGGAGAAGTTGTCTGGAGGAAATTGTGTCTGCAGGCAAATGGACAGAAAGACAGATGGATGGATGGACAGACGGACAGAAAGACCAATGGATGGATGAACAGACGGACATCCTTCTTGAAGGAGTTTATTGCAGGGGTTCGCTGCAGGGGGAATAATTAGTACATGCGTTAATTAAAGATATAGCATTGCCAATATTTTGTAATTATAATATCTCTTTATGTGTTTCTGACACAGTACGATACAAATTAAAAATTTTTAAATCATGCATAATTACCATAATCAAAACCAGTAAACATAACAAAATCGGCAGTTGTAAAAAAGATTTGAATTCGAATGAATCCTTACAACTTAACAATAAAACACAAAATTGAAAAAAATAATTATTTAAAAAAATTGAATTTCTAATTAAAATCATTAATGTGTGAGACTAATGTATAAATGTTATGCCTCGAGTCATAGTAAATTATTGTTGATTTTATCTCAAGATTTTTTCCTATTTATAAAACAGTAACTAGCCGTACGATATATAAATAACCCAATATAGACCTATAATACACGAGTACATGGGTATGTATGGGGTCACACAAAGGTCAATCCCAGCTCCTTTTTGTCAATCCCAGATCTTAAGCATGGTAGGTTAATCATTGTGTATGTACACCTTTTGATTAAGACAATGAATTAATTACGAGAGGAATGTTCATATCTTTTTATAATATATTGATTGAGTTCTCGTATTTCATAAAACAGCTTATATTCCTTGGTATGTGTACTTTTGAAAATCGCTGACACACGCTGTGATATTTGTAAAATGACTTCGTAATGTAGAATTAACTTAAAGTGCGTGCAATACATTAAATGTATCTAGGTATCAATTGAAACAGAAGAAGAAAAAAAAGAATGGTCAGACCAGAATTCGAACCGGTGACCATCTGAACTCTAAACGGACATTATAACCAATTAAGCTACCTGGTCTATCGACCCAGTCCATTCCACTAAATTCCTCCCTCCTTTTAGAAGTATTTGACCTCAATAATACACAAGACCTTAAACCACGTTCCATGGGTATATTTCATAGGGCGCCACAAGTAACAGGAGAAAAGAAATGCACAGGCTGACCGGGATTCCAACCCAGGACCCTCCGAACTCTAGATGGACACTCGAACCAATAGAGCTACGTTAGGCCAATGATTGACCAGAGCAGTTCCCCTACACAATAATACTATATAAGTTTACAGAAAGAATTAGATGACTAAATCACTGTTACAGCCCTTAGGTTGTATATAAATGAATATTTGTTTTGCAGATGTAGTAGAGTGGAATAAATCCAGGCACGCAGAATCAGTTCATGCTTTTTATTAAAACGTAAACAGGCAATGGACATCTGAATTGGTGACAGCACGTGTGCATACCTGGTCCTCGCAGGAGTATGTAATACATTCTAAGAACGCGCATGTGCTGTCACCAATTCAGATGTCCATTGCCTGTTTAGGTTATAATAAAAGCATGAACTGATTCTGTGTGTCTGGATTTATTCAACTCTACTACACAGAGAAAACTTATTAACTTTATAACTAGAACAAGATAGCATATGATTTCATTTCGTACCAAAAAACTCTCAAATTTCTAAAAAGAACTTCATGAAATTTCAAACATTACTAATGACAAAAAAAGAAAGATTTATTACATCAACAAGAGAGTTCTTATCTTCTTCTCCTCCCCACCCCCCCACAAAAAATGAAATGGTTGAAAGGAATTGATCTGTATTGTTGAAGAAATATGTCATGTAATATATTTGGTGTGCCCTTACAATTTTAAAACTACGCTTTTGACAAAATACAATCTGGACATTCTGTGTGTGACCTGAGACCTTGACATTCTGAGAGTGACCAATGACCTTGACATTCTGTGTGTGACCTGAGACCTTGACATTCTGTGAGTGACCAATGACCTTGACATTCTGTGAGTGATTTAACAACCTTGACATTCTGTGAGTGACCCGATGACCTTGACATTCTGAGAGTGACCAATGACCTTGACATTCTACTATATATACTGACCTTGACTCTCAGGAGATCCCCTCCTTTCCCTGTCGGTCTTCTTCTTGTCATAAAGTCGGTTCGGTGTTATGACGTCTGCTTCGCTACTTGTGGATCCCCTTTTCTTCGGTGTCGCAACTTGAAATTTGAAGAAAATTAATTGCAATAAAAAAACGACTGGCGATTCAATGTCATCCATCAAAATTTTTGATATCTGTAAACAATTTTTTTTTGCTGCAAACCCAGCATTTGTTCAGACATTTGATCTACGATCTATTCAAAATCATCCATCAAGGTTTCTAATATCTGTAAATTACGATTTTCCTTCTCTTCAATTTTCTCTACGCCACTTTACATACACTCTTCATTCTGATAACACATTGCATCCTTAATGTAGATAGAAGAAAAAAAATATCGGTGAAACATGGAAATTTGAGATATTTTTAATTACTAGATTCTCATTACGAATCCTGTTCACAACTTTGTTGCCAACATATCGGTACAGCACATGGCACAGTGATATCCTGGCCATATGTTGGTGTGATCCACGTTTATGATTGGTTAGAAACTCGGCTGATGTACCATTAAATCTATTCTGGCTCTCCATCTGCTATTCCAAACAGCGAAATTAAAAGTCGGACAATGCTGGTCTGATTTACATCCATGCCAATTAACAAATATAGATGTTTGCAAAATAAATTAAAAAGAACGTATCAACCAATTAATATTTAAAAGTATTTGCAGACACAGACAGACTGACCCTTTGGTATGCAGGACTTCACCATTGGATATATACAATACATTTGGTACTGGGGAGTAGTATTGATTAAAAAATATAAAGCGATCAATTGGAGAAAAAAACACATAAAAACAAAACTGAAAGAATCAAGACAAATACAATTTTGTTCAAAATAATGAAAAAAAATAAATAAAAAGTAAACAAAAAATAAATAAATAATTTCTATAGTTATTTATCTATGTAATTTATTAAAACGTGTTTGCATGTAAATGAATACAACATTGCATGAATATATGAAATTTATCTCAATTACTTGTACTAAGGGCGGTTGGTTGGCGCAATGGATAGTGCATACTTAAGTCTGGTTTACATTTTGATTTAAACATATTTTGTTGCAGATTTGCAATGGAATTTAGGCACAAGTTATCCCAACTTATGAAGCCTTCTCCCAGAAATGTTTTTCATAAGTCTTTCACCAAGACAACTTGGGTTCGATTCCCTGATTGGACATGAAAGGTATTGAGTCACCTGCCGAATCCTGTGGGTTTTCCACAGGTACTCCGGTTACCTCCCACACTAAGACCCACTGTGCGCTTCCATCTGGGCCAACAAATGTGATTAATTTATTTTAATAAAAAACTTTTTCATAATTATTGTAAAATAAATAAAGCTTATACGTTATCTTTGTACATGTACTAAGTTAACAGGTGAGTCGGATATCCCTACCTAATATTCCTCAGTGAGAACATGCACCCCCCACCCCCCCACCCCCTCCCCCCAAATCACTGCTTCTCAAATTCTATTATGTCTGGCAATGTTTTTTAAAACATATATATAGATAGATGTTTGTAAAATTGTCTGGCAGACGGTCCATACCTGTGAGTGTTTTCGGTCTGTTTGGCGTGTTCATTGCACCGAAGTTGAGCAGGTGAGCTGGAAGCCCGGGGGATGTGGGCAAGAGAGATTGGACGTCTGCTACACCTGTATTTTCATTTTCGCTCATAAATATCTTGATTTTCCTTCCATCGCCACTGAAAACAGAACAACAAATCTCTGTGATATCATCGTGTCTCCCTTACAGAGCTGTCCCCTCAGATACTGTGTGTGTTGAATCACAAATCTCGCACATAACATCCCCTGATTATCACAACAGCTTGAACCTCTAAAGAATTTCACTTAATTAGATTTTCATAAAGATTTTAATTCATATCAATGACCGAAGTCCTATGCTGCATAACACAGAGCAAGCAGAAAAGATAAGAAAAGATGAAAAGTACCAGATTTATTAAAACAGAGAAAAGCATGTTTTTTTTCATTTCAAAATTATTAACCTAACAATACTTTTAATCTGAGCTATTGTTTTAAATTGTTCAATTTTGCTACAAAAAAAACTATTTTCGTGTATTTTGTCTTTGTGTAATAAGTTATTTTATACAAAGGTACAATTTAACTGTTTTTAATTTGAAGATTTCTTTTAAGATTAAGGACAAACATTTTCATTTCCTAATCTTGTGTGGTTCAAGCTGACAAGGTCTCTTACATCTGTTTCGAAAATGAACACCTGGTTTGGGTAAAACTCACTTGTCTTGTCTCCCCACTGCGAGGAAATATTTGAACATGATACTGCTCCATAGGGGAACGTTTAAGATGAACGTCTCTTCCAGCGCGACATTACATACACTCTTTAGCCAGCTATGAGAGCTAATATCACCCAAATTACTGCCCATTTCTTCCATTTTTATCATCTACATAACGAATTCCAGTGGACTACTGCTGGGGTCGTTTGTAAGAGATTTTCTCCGAATAATGGATATTCGTAGGAGTAAATAGCTGACATAATGTTTTGTACCTAAATGTAGGACATTTTCAAGTAAGATGCTGATCTTTCAGTTTTCATCTAACTGGAAATTTATCAGACTTTTGGTTTTATAATAACATTTCTTTCTTATTAACAGTAAATTTATAATATTTCAAAATATCTGGTCCTTGGTGAAAATTTCTCCGTCATTCTTTAGAGTATGGTTCGTCATTCAACCGTTTGGATGAATTTCTCTTGTCAACCCCCTTGGTATGATTTCTCTGCCACCCCTTGGTATGATTCCTCTGTCACCCAATCTAGGGTATGATTTCTCTGCCACCCACTGGTATGATTTCTCTGCCATCCTTTGGTATGATTTCTCTGCCACCCCTTGGTATGATTTCTCTGCCACCCCTTGGTATGATTCCTCTGTCACCCTCTTGGGTATGATTTTTCTGTCACCCTCTTGGGTATGATTTTTCTGTCACCCTCTTGGGTATGATTTTTCTGTCACCCTCTTGGGTATAATTTCTCTGCCACCCTCTAGGGTATGATTTCTCTGTCACCCCTCTGGGGTATGATTTCTCTGTCACCCCTCTAGGGTATGATTTCTCTGTCACCCTCTAGGGTATGATTTCTCTGTCACCCCTTGGTATGATTTCTCTGCCACCCTCTAGGGTATGATTCCTCTGTCACCCTTTTGGGTATGATTTTTCTGTCACCCTCTTGGGTATGATTTATCTGCCACCCCTTGGTATGATTTCTCTGCCACCCCTTGGTATGATTTCTCCGCCACCCCTTGGTATGATTCCTCTGCCACCCCTTGGTATGTTTTCTCTGTCACCCTTCTAGGGCATGATATCTCTGTCACCAAATCTAGGGTATGATTTATCTGTCACCCTCTAGGGGATGATTTCTCTGTCATCTGTAGGGTATATTTCTCTGTCACCTTCTAGGGAATGTTTTCTCTGCCACCCCATCTAGGGCATGATTTCTCTGTCATCTGTAGGGGATATTTCTCTGTCACCCTCTAGGGTATGATTTCTCTGTCACCCAATCTAGGGTATGATTTCTCTGTCACCCTTCTAGGGTATGATATCTCTGTCACCCAATCTAGGGTATGATTTCTCTGTCACCCCATCTAGGGTATGATTTCTCTGTCATCTGTAGGGTATATTTCTCTGTCACCTTCTAGGGTATGTTTTCTCTGCCACCCCATCTAGGGTATGATTTCTCTGTCATCTGTAGGGTATATTTCTCTGTCACCCTCTAGGGTATGATTTCTCTGTCACCCCATCTAGGGTATGATTTCTCTGTCACCCAATCTAGGGTATGATTTCTCTGTCACCCCTCTAGGGTATGATTTCTCTGTCACCCCTCTAGGTATGATTTCTCTGTCACCCTCTCGGGTATGATTTCTCTGTCACCCCTTGGTATGATTTCTCAGTCACCTAATCTAGGGTATGATTTCTCTGTCATCCCTCTAGGGTATGATTTCTCTGTCACCCTCTAGGGTATGTTTTCTCTGCCACCCCATAGGGAATGATTTTCTGTCACCCCTTGGTATGATTTCTCTGTCACCCCTTAGGGTATGATTTCTCTGCCACCCCCTAGGGAATGATTTTCTGTCTCCTCTTAGGGAATGATTCCTCTGTCACTCCCTTGGGTACAATTTTTCTGTCATCCCTAGGTTATGATTTTTGTCACCCTGTCGGCAACAATTTTTCTGTCCTTGTCAGTCTACCCTCCCTTCGACATAGATGTTACCTTGTTAGTCCACCCTCCCTCCGACATAGACGTTACCTTGTCAGTCCACCCTCCCTCCGACATAGACGTTACCTTGTTAGTCCCCCCTCCCTCCGACATAGACGTTACCTTGTCAGTCCACCCTCCCTCCGACATAGACGTTATCTTGTTGTTAGTCGACCCTCCCTCCCACATAGATGTTACCTTGTCAGTCCACCCTTCCTGCGACTTAGAAGTTACCTTGTCAGTCCACCCTCCCTCCGACATAGACGTTATCTTGTCAGTCCACCCTCCCTCCGACATAGAAGTTACCTTATCAGTCCACCCTCCCTCCGACATAGAAGTTACCTTGTCAGTCCACCCTCCCTCCGATATGGACATTACCTTGTTAGTCCACCCTCCCTCCTAAATAGATGTTACCTTGTTAGTCCACCCTCCCTCCGACATAGACGTTATCTTGTTGTTAGTCGACCCTCCCTCCCACATAGATGTTACCTTGTCAGTCCACCCTTCCTGCGACTTAGAAGTTACCTTGTCAGTCCACCCTCCCTCCTTCATAGATGTTACCTTGTTAGTCCACCCTCCCTCCGACATAGACGTTATCTTGTTGTTAGTCCATCCTCCCTCCGACATAGACGTTACCTTGTTAGTCCACCCTCCCTCCGACACAGACGTTATCTTGTCAGTCTACCCTCCCTCCGACATAGACGTTACCTTGTAAGTCTACCCTCCCTCTGACATAGACATTATCTTGTCAGTCCACCCTCCCTCCGACATAGACGTTACCTTGTTAGTCTACCCTCCCTCCAACATAGACGTTATCTTGTTAGTCCACCCTCCCTCCGACACAGACGTTATCTTGCTAGTCCACCCTCCCTTCGACATAGACGTTACCTTGTAAGTCAAGAAATTTTGAATTCCGACAAGACTGTTTCCAGATAAATATAACAGGAACATTCTCTAATTTCATAAATTCAATTATTAATTATTTTCTGAACTCTGAAGTATATATTTTCCAGATCACTGCTAAAAAACTTCTCATAACAGTTTAAATATAACATTCCAAGTACAACTTTTTAAGATTCATTTTTCAACATTAGAATATTCATATTTAATATAGCATATTGAGATAGATTTTTTTTATTTTTTATAATAATTATGAAATAATATGACAAAATTTAATAAACATTTTTGTAATTTATTTCATCATGATGGAAATTTTCATGGCAGCTAGATTTTTCTTCTCTTTTTATTTATGAGATAATATGATACATTTTAAAATACAAATTTGAACTCATTTCAGTTTAAAGCACATTTCTAATAAATTATATATTAACTTTAAAATCCAAACTAAGAGGTCCATAATTTACATTTACGAATAAAAAACAACACACAATTTGAATTACTCTTCCATGACTTAATATTCTAGGGAATTAATTAAATTGATATGATGTCACGTCTGGGAAAGGATACATGATAAAATCTCACAAGAAACTTACATATCCCTCCTAAAGGGAGACTGTTTTTTAAAATCCTGGTCCAGATAAGTGAATTAATTAATCCAGGAGGTACGAATGTACATTTCACACGAATTATGATGATGTCACATATCATTTGAATTCAGGTATAGACACACCTTGAATATCTATACACACTGTAGCGTGAAAACCAAAACAAATAACTGCAAAACTTCGTACAAATTATGAAGATATATGTAAGTAATATACCCAAGTACACGCTGATAGTGTTCAAGTATACATAATATTTATACGTAGCTGGTTAAGAGTCAAAACAAACAATGGTTCAAACAGCACGATTATAACATATTAAAATTCTCACCAAATAACTATCACTCAATATATGTAACATACTTACGTTAAATGATTCCTCTGTCAAATACAGATCGCAAATAAAATGTCCACAAAAGAAAATTAACAAGATTACTGCGAGCTGAACCCCAGAGGACAATAGAGGTTTTAGCAGGTAAGACATTAGCTATTTTGATCCCGTATTTTAAAGAATTCTGTCTTATCAATAGGTAATTTTAATATGCAGACATGCCAGAACAGATTCCTTAATACTCAATAATACAGGCATACACACTTTAAAATCCCCTGGTGTACGTTTCAGTGCTATGACCAACGTTAACACAGGTATGCATTGTACCTTGTGGGTCGCTGTGACGGTTCAGGGGGGGGGGGCATTATACGTAGATTTTTACAGACACAGATCATTTCATTCATACAATTAAATGATTTTTCCTAATTAAACAAGGTAGGTCTACATCAGATATACATTGATATCTGATGTTTGTTACGGCCTAGCCTTCTCCTGACGTGTTAAAGCTGACTAGTTCTGTGTGACAATGCCTCACCTGTGTGTACAGGTAAAGCGATCAATGATCACAGAATTACCAGTAGTGTATATGTTTCACAACAAACTTCACAAGCAGGAATATCCTCTGAAATTGTTTTTATTTAAATACAAGGATTGTATTTCATAGATAAACTATTGAATGGGCAGATACATGTCTTTAACTTAAATGGCTTGTTCAAGATCCGATTTCTCAAAAGAAAAAAGAAAAACGGACCGAAGATTTCTCATGAGTTGTTTTCTTTGCAGTGTAACGGAAGCCGAGAGATTTGGAGGTTTTAGAATGTTATCTACATTTTTTTTCTACCATGAAATTAATCCCCCTCTTTCTAATCCAATCACATTTGAACACNCACCATCCCCACCGGTCTCCCACTCTCTTGAACAGCAATATTCTCCTTAATATCCTCAATATTTAACCCTTTCACCACTGTAAACTACAATGGACTCATCCATATCAATGCATGGTAGGGTCTACTGAAGTTACATAGGGGTAAAAGGTTTCAATAGTATTTTCCATCTAACATAACAAAACTATCTAATATTAATTATCTTGATCTTTCCCCCTCCCGATCCTCAACAATTTCTAGTTTTTATTCAAATTCTTCGCAATAGGTGTTTCGACCAACAATATGTAAAACATTAAAGTTTGAAATTTGTTCACAATAACATTTTGTTGACATGGTTAATTTTTTCAGCACTTCTTTGATGTGACAATTTGACAAACTCCATGAATTATTTTTTTAATTAAAATTTGTACCTGTGTGTTAGGGTAAACTATTTAGCATTTAAATATGTCAAAAATTGGTGTCTTGAACATTTGACTTAAGTAAAACTTTGAATGGAAATGTAAACCTGTATTTATGAAATTGCATTTAGTTGTAGAGTGAATTATTTAGCAAATTAGTGTTTTGACTATACGACAAACAACATTAAATGTTTAGAATTGAAATATTTTTACTTGTGTTTGTGAAATTGCCTCAGGTTAATTTACATTTTACAGGCAGATTCTTACAGTCTTTTTCGGAGCTGTCGCCATTCATCTGCGTAAACGTTTCAGCAAAATAATTGTATTGAAAATATGACAACAATATAAAAATACACAAATGGAAATTTGAGAATTGAGAATTTGTTTAATTGCCTTTGATAAGTTTACATTATATGGGTAGACCTCGACAGCCTGTCGCTGATATAGGTGACCTTTCATTACATTTTAATGGTCCGAACCTCCAAAACCAATTCTCACAATAACACCACGAGGCACTTAAACGGTTCAAATGTGGTTGGCCACATAATTAACAGCTACTTGATGGGAGGTTTAACCTATCATTAAAGTAAACCCAAGAACCTTGGTATCATGACACTGCTATCTGATCTTACACCGAACATATACAAACCTGTCAATAAGCCACTGATTATCTCAAGCATTTTGCCTAAATTGATGAAATTTGAAATTAATTTTTGAGATTTTCATCAATGTATACATTCTAATTTCCCCCATTTTGTACGTTAAAGGATATATATAGCGCAGAATGAAATCTTATTACTTCCAAAATATTTCAATGAAAATGCTATGCAAGGAATTGATTTCAAGCAAAAACTAACTTGTAAGTTGAACTTGAAATGTGACCCTAAACTAAGTCATAAGGGTCATAAACAAAAAACATTTGGCATTATCAAAGTTTGAGTCATCGGGGTACTCAACTTATCAATTTGAGCTTTCTCATCATTCGACTCATCAAAAGTTGAAATACAATGTACCTGGGTATTTGACTCATCAGGATTCCAGTTATCTGGGTATTTGACTCGTTGAAAGTTTAAGCTTAAATCATTATTCAATATATCTACATATTTGACTCCTTAGAGTAAATAGCTTTCAACTGTATGAGTAGAAAATAGGAAAAGGGTGGGGTGGGGTGGGGTGTGTGTGTGTGTGTGGGTGTGTGTGTGGGGGGGTGACAAGACATTTTACCCTAAATGTCCCAGTCTACCCAGTCACCCAGCTGTAAAAGTGGATAACAAAATATTATAAAAAAATCTTGTAAAATCCTGGCATATCCTTCCAGGGGAAAGACATTGATTATCAGTCATTTGATATTTAGCTTGGGGGGGGTAATAAAAAGATATTTTGTAAACAAAAAACAAAAAAACCCAGACTATCGGTCCCTTCATGCCGCAAAACTGTGTTAAGCTCTGACTTGATGGCCACTAGACTTTGAATGACTTTACATTACATTTATGGTACATGAAGAATCTATCATTTACCTTTCATGGTTTTGCTTCATGTGAAGCAATATTCAGAAGATGGACAAGGTAAAACTTTTATTGGCTTGAGTCAGAATAATGGACTATAAAAAAAGGTCAAGGTAAAATGTAACTTACACCCTTAAGACCTTGTGGCTTTATGCTATATTTAAATTTGACAGGAGATAGTGAGTTTCTGGATAAAGAAGTTGGTAAGCTGAATTAGATTAAAGAATTGATGTCTATATTGTTAAGAGAGACTTATAATAGATATACACGAACCAAATAGTCGACATCAAATATTGTATCTGGATAACGATATTTTACCTTATAAACAAGCATGGTGTTCAATATTTTCGTCAAATTTTTCAAAATGCAATCAGCCTATTTATTTGTAAGAAATTCCTTTCCAAAACTACAGAGGATGATTGCTTTTAAAGTAAGAATAGGCTACGGCCACTACAGAGGGCACTTACTTCAGAAGTAAGAGTAGGCTACGGTCGCTACAGAGGACACTTACTTCAGAAGTAAGAGTAGGCTACGGTCACTACAGAGGACATTTACTACAGAAGTAAGAGTAGGCTACAGTCACTACAGAGGGCACTTACTACAGAAGTAAGAGTAAACTACGGCCACTACAGAGGGCACTTACTACAGAAGTAAGAGTAGACTACGGCCACTACAGAGGGCACTTAATTACTACAGAAGTAAGAGTAGGCTACGGTCGCTACAGAGGACACTTACTTCAGAAGTAAGAGTAGACTACGGCCACTACAGAGGGCACTTACTACAGAAGTAAGAGTAGGCTACGGTCGCTACAGAGGGCACTTACTTCAGAAGTAAGAGTAGGCTACGGTCACTACAGAGGGTACTTACTTCAGAAGTTAGAGTAGGCTACGGCCACTACAGAGGACACTTACTACAGAAGTAAGAGTAGGCTACGGTCGCTACAGAGGGCACTTACTTCAGAAGTAAGAGTAGGCTACGGTCACTACAGAGGGTACTTACTTCAGAAGTAAGAGTAGACTACGGTCACTACAGAGGGCACTTACTTCAGAAGTAAGAGTAGGCTACGGTCACTACAGAGGACACTTACTACAGAAGTAAGAGTAGGCTACGGTCACTACAGAGGGCACTTACTTCAGAAGTAAGAGTAGGCTACGGTCACTACAGAGGGCACTTACTACAGAAGTAAGAGTAGGCTACGGTCACTATAAAGATGCTATGTCTGATTTAAAGGATGCTTATTTCAGAAGTGACTAAAACAAACTGAGCAAGTAGGAAGGAAAAATAATTTCCATCACAAGATCAAATGCAGATATAAGTATATGAAGTAATAATTAGCGGATAACTTACCAGTCCAGACTGACCGAGCGTTGTCTCTGCTGCCACAGGTTATCCTTCCCTTTGTCCTTCTGACTCAGGCGTCGCCCGATCTTGTAAAGTCCACCCGAACTTTCTAGTCTGTGAAGTCACAAATAATGTATTGTCAAAATCTACAACTCAGTAATACGTAACACTAGGTAGATGTGTTGTGTGCCGTTCTTTAATATTCCGTCACTGACTCTCAATTGTCGTGCGAGTCCTTTTGTCTCACCAGGAGGTATTACATGTTTAGGTAAAATTACCCCCCCAAAACTCCACAGAGAAACTTTTCATTGATGGTGAACTCGTCCATGTTATAAGTACGGGACAAGAATCACAACAATACACAGTGAACAGCCTGACATACAATGGATCGACTTATTATATCACCACTTTCAAACACCCTTACAATAAACAAAAGCCTGACAGAGATTTAATGTCCTAACACTTCGGCAAAGTTTAAATAAATGAGTTTCTGCTAACACCCGACGAAGACAATCTACAAATGTTAACCTGAAAGTTTTTCGTGTGACATGTCTGGGCCTCTTCTGCTCGGGCAGTAATCAGTGTCATTACCTTCACTTTCCGTTTAAATGCGGCACAATCTAAAAATCCCTGAGACGTTTTAGCACGAAAGGGCTGAAAGGAGGCTTCTGCCGTATCAGTAAATCCCTCAAAAAAAAGTTTTTCAAAGACAGTGGATAAACATAAGAACACCCCAAAGAAATTAATTTGTGTGCTTTCAGTGTACAGGTTCACATATCTATTAAACGTGTAATACCCACATACAGGTAGTACTGAGGAACACCCCTCTATAATAAACATATACCTTCCACGGATTTGTCAACTTAACCAAAATCATATCAGTGATCATATCTTGCAATTTTCAGATACTTTTCTACAGATTTTTCTGCTGAGAAACTTTTGAAGTCTCATAAAGTATACATGAAGTTTATTATTTATTTAAATTTAAATATTTTTTTCAATTAAAAATTAATTTCAAAATTTCATTTCAATTCTGTTAAGCTAACCAAAATCTGGATAAAAGCCTAACTTATCAAAGCATTGTTAACTTGATGGCTATAACTAAATTTTCAAAAATGCTTTTCTCTTATTTTTTTTATAATTTCATGGAATGTATATTTCAAGTTACATATTTTTAGGAGAAAAAAAAACGTTTTTAGGCAATACTACAGATGGTATTTGTGATTACTGAAATTCATGCGGAAATTATATGGATATATATTGAAATTCTTGTAAAAATTATGTGGGTATTCACCATGATGACACACAGAATTGAAATAAATATAGCTTCATCTACTTTGAAAAAGAAGAACAACATACTTTCATGAGATTTAACTAAAAAAATAGCCTTGCTCTAAATCATTTTACCCTGTGATAACTTGCGACTATTGACATTCATGACAAAGTTACGAAACTTACATCACAATTATTTTTAACAATCAAATCTTACATAATTATTATGATACATGAAAAAGTATACTCAAAGATTAATAAAATCGACAGAAAAAAATTGTATGAGAAAAACATATTTTCTTTTAAAGCTAACAAATATTGAAAATATAGATGGCTATCTTCACAACTGAGGACTTTTTATCCCAATAATCCTATACATTTACAATATCGTTAATTGCTTTTGGCTTAATTTGGTAGTGACAGCTTCTTTGTCGACTCAATGCTTTACAAAATAGACTTACAAACCTCTGTTTCTAAACTCAATTACGTACCGCATACATATCTGTCAAATGAAACCGATAGGTTTTTAAACCGTTTATATGAAAACTATTTCAATCATATCTTCGTATGAATTCTCTGCGGTTGAAAAAGAAACATGTCAAAAAGAATTTGATTAAGAAGGTGTAATTTCAAAAGAAGGGTTATAAGGGCTATCATTAAATATGAAAGGGATCCTGTAAACGAGAAATCCGAGTTCAGCGACTGGGTTCAAGCCACAAATTTTACCGTCATAAAATACATGTCTTTCTTTAGGTCTCACTTAACATCAATATGGGTGGTCACTGCGTTATATGTGATGAAAATTGAGCTATTTCTCAAGGAACATCAAAAGACAACATTTATGTTATGAGAAATGGTTTCTGGATAATTAAATGGTGATATGTCAAAGTCGTAATGATGATGAAAAATCCACAACATGAAATAGGTACGTGTACTGTGAAGTGTGTGAGGACTTAATTGCTACATGCCTCAGACTGTCCAATATTATACAAAATAAACAATTTTACAGCTGGTAATATTTACATATACTTAAGTTTATGATTAAGAGAATGCAATTTCAATATTGATAGTTTTTAAATTGAAATTATCATTTACTGATGATTTAAAGAAGCAAATATGAGTCTCCTCACCAAATAACACGAAAATTAATCACTTATGAAAATGAAGTCACTTAAAGTATCAAGGCATCCGAGTTCGGTAAAAAAATAAAAGAATGTTTGACAGTTTTAATTTTATTAGATTTAAAAATATTTTTTTGAGCAATAGAACAAGAAAAACCTGAAGATTTTATTGAAAGAAAAGTCATGAGTAAAGCTTGACTTACAATAAAAAAAATCTTGAAATTGATTCCAAACTGTTCTTAAATATCTTTCAAGATATGATTTTCATAATGTGAAATTTGTTATACAAAGGCTGGCTGGCTTTCTGGAGAAAACTATTATGAGCTATGAAATACAGTAATGTATCGAAAAATCCACTCATATAGACCAACTGATACTTTTTCTCAGCAGAAGTACTTCATTCGTTGACTTTAGTAATTAGTGAAGCATGCTGAAAAAGAACTCAGCCTTGAGTATCTTAAGATTGCATAATAAGCAGTTTCGTATAAGTAGTCGGCAGTCACGTACTTTATATAATAGGATCATTAGCTATAAAACGCAAAACAAAAATGAACAGAAATCGTACGTACCTCTTTTCATCTTGATTCCGCACCATGTTCTGCAAAGATGTCCAGAAATTGACATTACTTGATGACCAAAAATTATTAAAAAGATAACATTTTGTGAAAAATTCACAATCAACTATTAACAATCATTTATAATCGTATCGCAATGAACCTGTTCTTTCTGTTAAGAAGACACACATCCAAGTTTGTTCCGGCTCCTTTAACCCATTCACCCCTGAACACACATTTGAATTCTTCCAATTCAAAGGTTGGAATAGTTCATTATAAAATTTCAGGGGTGAATGAGTTAAACTTAGAGTACAACTCTCAGACTGATCAGTCAATACAGCTGAAGCCCTGTCAGCTTAAAAGCGCTAAAGTAAAATTCAATATTATCGCTTTGTTTTTTAAACATTTCATATATATCGCAAAACATTTATCTCATTCAATTCAAAATAACTTCAATACATGAATAACAACAAATCATTCATATTTTTCTGAATAATCGTGTCAAAAATTTATTTATAACAAAGTTGTGTTTTCATTCCATTAAACTAACAAGTTTTTTTTTTACAGTTGTATTTGCTGCTTCTTGTTGGCCAGATGTTTAAAAGCATGAATGTAGCTGTTTCGGAAGAGATAATGGCCTGGCTCCCCCTCCCTGGGATTCAAAAGTTATAATTCACAATAATGAGGACCAGAGGAGACTTGTATGAGAACCATGTGGGGAGTCTGGAACATGTATTTACAAAACATATGTACCCTGGTATGTTAAAAACACATTAGGTGGGGGAAAACATATCTCCACAGGTTACACATGTAAAATTTATCAATCGTGGACTTTTCCTGAAGTGAATATTTGTTTGTATGGACCTGAGAAAACGATATTAACCGAGAGAAAGTCCAGGGCAATATCACTTTTCAGATCTATGAAACCACATATTCATCAAAATTAAAGTCCCTTAAATGTTATATTAAATAGATATTTATCATGTTTTCATCATTAACTCGTTCACCCCTGAAGACACATTTGAATCCTTCCAATTCAAAGGTTGGAATAGTTCATTATGAAACTTCAGGGGTTAATGAGTTAAACAAGACAGGGTGAAAGCAAATCACAGAGAAAAAGTACTGCAATTGGCAGAGAGAGCATTGTGACATGACAGTTATGTCATTAACCCTTTCACCCCTTGGTAACTTTAATAGACTCTACCATACATTTATTTGGACAAGTCCATTATGGTCGACAGTAGTGGTGAAAGGGTTAAGAGAATATTGGCCTGATGTTCCAAAAATAGAAACATCAGGTTAATATCACAAATTAATGACCTGCACATGATTACCGTTCAACCAATGAGAATGTAGGAAAAATTGGTATCATCTAAAATTATATTAAAGTGATTTGTTAGATATACGTTTCATTCAATCTTTTTTTCTAAAATTAACTGTAAAACAAATAAACTTTATTATAATACAACAGACAGTTGAAATACAAAACATTTAGATTTAAAATTAAATTTCAAAATTCATGAAATTGGAAATTATATCATAGCTCATACCATAGCGAATAAAGTTCTATTTTGCTAACATATTTTTGTAAAGTTGTCATTTTATAAATTTAACTGCAAAACAATTAAAATCTACAATCATACTACCAAAGATAGATTACAAACAAAACAAAGATTTAAATTAAATTTCAAATTTTATGAAGTTGGAAATTATATATCAGTCTTTTGCAAATAAAATTACATTTTGTTAACATTTTTGTAAATATGTGTCATTTTATTAAAATTAAATGCATAATTTTACTAAAAATACGAGTACAACAGTTCATTAACAACAAAACATCCAGATTTAAATTAAATTTCAGGATTTATGAAATTGGAATTGTAAATTCAAAGTGATTTAGCTAGTGCTTAAGAATTGTTTACAACTGAAAAGCTCCTAGTTTTTTGGATTGTAGGAATTATATTTATTACGTTATCTGTATAACAAACTGATTATCTGGGTCCAATTAATGTGATGCTTAAGGATAGAGTGCCCCTAAGCATTAAACAGCATTCTGTTCCGTGTTATGGTCCTACAACACGGAACAGGATTGCAGACAAAACTATGACGTGCGTTATGATTATTTGTCTGCAATCCTGTTCCATGTCATAGGACCATAACACGGAACAGAATGCTGTTTTATGCTTATATTTACATTTTTCATTTCTTTAATTTTCATTTCTTCCAAGTTCACAATGCACTTTTAAATTTTAAATTTCACCGTGTTTGTTCAAGAGGTAGAACAAACAGCCCATGGAATTGCTCACGAAATGTTGTTCGGTGACTTTCCCCATACAAAAAGATAGTTCTTGAAATACACACAAAAATATTGATAAAATTTCCATTATTTAATCAATCAAAATTTTAATTCACATTTTATAATAGTCTTACAATAAACGGTGAATGTTATTGAATCATAGTGTTTTTTTTTTGCTTATCTGCTTGCTAGTGCTGAGGGGAATAGTGATCCGGTAGTTAGTCGGTCTTGTGGAGATATCACTACTCCTGTGTTATGGTCTCATAACACGGAACTGTTATCTAGTGGCAATGCAGAGCAAATGTAAATATAATACAGTAACCCCCCTTAACTTTCTTTTGATATAACTGTAGAACAGTTGTGCTGGTACATTTCCGTCGACCAGGTAGCTCGATCAGTTAGAGCGATATAGTTTACCAGCCTGAAGTTCAGGGTTCAAATTTTTGATATAACTGTAGAACAGTAGGGCTGGTACACTTCCGTCGACCAGGTAGCTTGATCAGTTAGAGCGATATAGTTTACCAGCCTGAAGTTCAGAGTTCAAATCCTGGTCTAGCCCTGTGGAATTTTTTACTCTCAGAACACTAGTGTTTTTGATTATAGTTTGTTTAATTCATCTTTATTATTTCTCATAAAAGAGTTCAACAAGGTATGGTAACCTCCCCTTAATTTCTATTTGGATTAAACTGAAGCACAGTTGGGCCAAGTCCATTCCATTGACTAGGTAGGCCAGTTGGTTAGAGCAACAGTATAACAATCTGAAGTCCAGGGTTCGAATCCCAGTCTAAGCCCCATTGACCTTTTACTTTCAGAAAGAACACTGTTGTTGTTTTATCTGTATTTTATTTCATCTTTATTAAAAAAAATATCATAAATGTCCCACATGGTTTGGTTTTCTTTTCAGAGACGATTTATCAAAGATATTGTCATGCCAGAAAAAAATAATCCAATGCGTAGTAACAGTTGTTTGTCAGTGGTACAGGGATCCTTAACTCATTCACCCCTGAAGACACATTTGAACTCTTCCAATTCAAAGGTTGGAATAGTTCATTATGAAACTTCAGGGGTGGATGAGTTAATATCATTTTGACAGTCATCAGAAATACCTGATACAAAGGATCCTGTATTCATTTCAGCTGTGATCTAGACAAGTACGCGTTCCTTTGAGACGTTTCAAATTAATATCAAATATTTTTGAAAAGTCGGTGAAGCTGCTTTAATTACAATTTAAGGCTGTCAATGCTATTTGAGAAATTCTGATTGCACCGTATCAAATAACGATAAAAGAAAAGTTGTCACAAGTATTATCTCCAGTGCCTAGCTGTTTTGTTTTCTCCTTTGCGGTGATGAAATTACATCCCATAGCTACCACACGGACACCTTATGCCAAGATTGCGTACGGAAACATTGATTTTTTTTTATCTTAATCAAGATACAAAATACGAAAAAATGGAAAACATTGCAGATTATTTCCCCACGGTCAGATTGTACCCAGAGATGTTGGCCATCAGAAAATGTTGTTTACCAGAAGTAACAGAAATCTCTTAACAAATATCTGAAATGATTGATCGAGACGAGAATTCAGACACTATATCACATATCAAGGGACATAACTCCTACTGTCCTATGCATGCCTCTGGATATGTTCATGTGCAGATTAAGGTCGAATGATGAACGGAAATAGGAAGTACATCCCTAGTTGAAAATCCAATGTATGGAGACAGTATCACAATTTCCACATATTCTAATGTTTAATCTTAAACTGATGAATATAGATGTTTATTATTAACAGAACAGTGTGTTCTCTCAATATTAAAGTATTTCAAAGCAATCCAGGCATTAATTCAGTTTTTTTTTTATCAATGTCAGTCACATGTGTCAATTTTTCTGTACTTCAGGAAACCAGCTACCTATTTCACTACTGTCAATTTTTAATCGTTTGCACAATTTCAGCATTTATCAAATTGATATACATTAATGCAAAACTAAATCTATGGCAGTATCATTTTTATTGACATTATTTTGCAAAAAATTATGTCTTTCATTTTTTTTCTTCAAAATTTACTCCTTTTTATATTAATTTCCATTTAAAATCCCTTAAATTCTGACAACCTGTATTTTTATTGTGGCAGAAAATTTCTTAACTTCAAAGCAATATAACTACAAAATTTGAAGAAATTCAACTGAGAAATGGTGATACAAACCTATTACCTTACACGAAAGCAACAGTTCTAAATCTTTCATGTGTTCCTCATGTTAAATTGGGAGTTATTTTGATGAATAAATTTAAATTCCTAAACAGCATGAGTAAATAAAATTATAATTAATGAAGTCTACTGGAAAAAGTGAACATAAGATACCACATCGATATTTAAGAGAAGAGTTAATTCAAAGGGGCATAACTCCTAAAGTCTTCTGTACAGACAACGGTTTTGTTACCCTGTCAATAAAGGGCATGGACAAACCTGTGGAAAGCGATACCTGACTATAACATATACTTTAAGTGCCATTCTAGACAGGTGACAGCTAGGAGGGAACCTGGAATTCACATGACTGAAATGCAGATACCTGCTGCTTCACTTGACAAAGTTTGTCATTTATGTTCATGGAAATAAATCTTTCTAATACTTTTTTATACAAACTTTGCAGCTTGAGAAAGATATTAAGCTTTATACAGTGACATCTGTCTGATATGACAGCTCAGAAAGAATGAATTTACCGTATTTATCCAGAAATAAGCCTGAAAAGATGATTTTACCATATTTATCCAAAAATAATCCTGCAAAGATGATTTTACCATATTTTTATCCTGGATGCCGGGAAATAAGCCCATCCATATCTATTGGAGTTCAGCAAAAATGCCAACAAATGCTATTTTATTGTTCTATAATAAACCCTTCTTATTTTGAGTGAGAAATTACGTGTCGGCACCCTGGGCTTATTGAAGCATATATATGGTAATAGACGAATTGCCAAAGAAGGGAACAGAAAGAACTTTTGGGAAATTAATGGTAGTTATACACAAATCAAACAGGTAACAATTATAAACAAGTACAGCAGTTTGCTATGGCAGGTTTTTACATTAAATATAAAAACATTTTCTGGAGGTTTAATTGGAAAGGGAGGAGTTTTGATGTTCTGAGGTGGGGACTATATTTTTAGGTGGCTATATATATACCTATAGGGGTAATTTGGTCATAGAATTTTAGATTAGCCAGGGGAAAAATTAAGAAAAATATTTCTGAAATACACCGCAGGGGTGTTACCATCATACCCACTAATTGTTTTCTTTTTCACGTCAATAATTATTCATTGTCATAAATGACTATACAAAACATTGTCGTGAGGTATCCATGATAGTGTATGGTACACGTTTTTATTTTTCTGGTGGAAATTTAAGTATTCAGTATTTAACGGCCAACAAAGAAAGATGACAATATGATCGCTCCCGTTAATCTAACAGTAAGTATCATTATACCATTTGTTTACTTTGTCAACATTCCAGCGCCGCGATTTAAAACCCCCTGTCAGTGCCGACAGCTATTGTGTCCAATCAGGTCAGCTTTTGAGAGGTCTCATATAAATCTATTTCTCATAAGGACACCCTTTCTGATTAAATTCCCAAGGGATCCACATTTTCTATTACCAGTGAGCACTTAAGCTCCCCCTTCTCTTCCCACCTTGAATCCTATACTTTAGACACTTGGAGGGTCTTGGGAGTTTCACAGAGTGGTTTCTGTTGATATATATGTATTGTTGGGGGGGGGGGGAGCTCTGAATACCGTAATTACTGTCTAATGTACAGAAACAGAATCTATCTCAATAAGAAATCTTAACAAAGAAAGATGAATTTTCCTGCTGAATAATACTTTAATTAGTCTTGATATTACATGTACTTTTTTTTTATTTTAAGTTTTGCAATTTCAGAATCTGAGAAAAGCAGAACATGTGAAATGGACGGTTTTAGAAAATCCACGAAAAATTAGGGACTGTGAATTGCATATCTCAACCCTTATATGTGATCTTGATGTCAGATTGAAAAAAACATGACAGTTATTTGTGTCAAAATATATTTAAAACTTTTGACATGGTTTGTCACATGCAAAGAAAAAGTCAAAATATTCTGAAGAAATAAACATGTTTACCAGTTTAATCTTGCAAATATCATGCATCGAATATATGAACTGCATATATTTGTTGAAAAATATTTGACTTTTCTGATTCATAACATTTGTAAGTCATGTTGAAACCATGTCTGATGCCAATCTTTGTCATCTACATTAGTGTTACATTATCAATCCCCGAAATCTTGTGAAAATGTTCTTTTTCACTCTAATTTGCAATTCAAATATTGTTTATACTCCGACATAATTCAGTCAGAGGAATAATGTATACATGTATTTATACCTGCATGAACATGTTAAATTTGTCAAATATGACATATGAATTCAATGTATAACCATACATAGACAAGAAGACCTAACAACCTATATCCTTCACATCCACTTGTTGAAGTGAAAACAAGAAATTTTGGCAATTATGAGTTTATTTCAAGATGATTTTAAAAATACACTAATTTGGAAAACTCAAAAAAACAAAGGTAGCCCTCTGCAGTGGGATTAACTCAAAAGTGAAGTTTAAAGATCAAATCTGTAATTGTTTCTAAGTTATATTACAGAAACCAAAATGCACTCAAAGTGAACGTATTTTGGGCACCGTTTCCAGAAATGCAAATATGTACCAAAACGTACACATTATGAATGGTGTTTCCATGACAACTGGAAGTTTCTTAAAATCAAGGTTACATACTTTTCTGCAGTTAAGCTGATTCGTGAGTAAAGTTAAAATATCAGTTTTTGAGAAATATTCCAGTAGTAATTGTGGAAGGATGGACAGACAGATGCTTGTTAAGATGGATGGACAGATGCACGCATGTATGGAACCCTTTCATTTATCCCACTGCCACTTTATTTAGCGGAGGATAATAATAAAACCAAACAGAGGCTGCAACCTCACACGATACAGAAATACATCAGGACCACTGGACTGATATTGTGTCGGAAATCATTCTAAAGATTAAAGATTGAAATAATGATCATTAATATTACATTTCATTTTGATTACGGGTGATTTATGTCTCCCTATCGATATATCTCAGGTTCAGTTTTAATCAAATTCAGTTTTTTAGGGAGGACCCATAGGAAGGATTTAAAAATCAAAACTTGCTTTTGATCGAAAATATTAGGGTTCAGGTCAATTTTTACTGAGCCATTTACAAGATTTAAATGTATCGAGTGTTTCCCTCATCGATACACAGATAACCTTTCCAAGGAAATTGACATGAAGCTTGATCACCTTATCGGGTCGGAATTACAATTTTAACCTTGGCAGGGTTCTCAGTAGTTAAAAGTGCCTCAATTGAAATTTCCTTCAGAGGATATATTCCTTAAGCATTCAATTTAAATTAGATCTGGCTTATAGGGTATTTCACCCAGAGATTTAGTATTTTGATTGCTAGTTTGTACACGTAGAAGTGTAATTTACGGAGAGAAAAGAAAATTTTTGTAGACCTAGATGGTTCCTTTATAGTATTGTCTGAGCGGGATTCTTTAGATAATACCTTCTTTTTGTTACCTCTGAAAATCGGATCAAATTTTATAGAGTATATAGTATTATATACACTTTTGAAATAAATAGGCAAATGTCTGCCTGAAGAAGCCCAAAAAGACAAAAAGGCCTAGCAGTCTAACTTGTGTACTTATTTTCTATTTTCTATTTTCCTTCGCAAGAACTTGGTCCTTTGTTATCTACTGTCTATTTATATATATATATAAAAAGCACTCAAAATAAAACAACCATTCATTCTCATTTATTGCTAATATATATCCGTTTACTTTTTTCAGTCATATTTTGGTCAATTATCACAGAAATTTTCACAAATTAATGTTCAAATTTATGTTTCAGATGAATTATTTTACAGTGAAGCCTTGATCGACCTTTTGGCAACCTTCAAACCAAAACAAAATTGCTGGATAGAAAGACAGCTGGATGAATTACTTGGAAAAGAGTTCAGTCTATTTCCTAAAACACTGGCTATATCTCAGATAATGGGACGAATATAGATCATACTCGCCAACTTTTTGAAATTTCCAGGGGGGGGGGGGGATTCTATAATGTGTTTTACAACCCCTAGAGACAAAATATCCCTTCAAAACAACATATTACGAGTGGTTCTTTCAGATGAAATCATTGGATCTAAGAATATAGGAACAGTTCAGCGAATTCAATGGTTGAAAATACTAAATTAAGGGTTCCGAAATCTGGAGCCTCCCTCCTAAATAGGGAGGGATGGCAAGTGCGCTAGATTTGCGGTGAATAACACTTCAATGCATTCCTATGGGATGTTTTCTTTGCTCAAGTCACTATATTGAATATGTTTAAACTAAGTTGCTGCTTACAACATAAGCTCATACAATTAAGGGGATATGGGTATACCATCACAATTTAAAGTTGCAATGAAGCGTTCCACTTTAAAATTATTATTGTTTACTTGGAATAGTTTTCCTTATATATATATTTAGAAGATGAAGCAACAAACAGGAGATTTTCTAGCTTTAAGAGTTACTTCTCTTGCAAAGTATTCATCTTTCATTTTGATGATGTGCATTTTAAATTCCTGTATAGCAACATTAATAATGTGTTGAACATTGGCAGTGTATAGGTCCAAAGTTCAATTCTTGTAGTTCTAACAATTATAATTTTGTAAACCACACTTAAGACATGATTTAGGGCGGTCGGGGTTTGCATGCCTGATTGGACGTGAAAAGGAATTGGGTCACCTGGGTTTTCTCCGGGTACTCCCACACTAAGACCCCTCGCGCTCACATCAGGGCCAACAAGAGTGATTTATATAAGTTGAAATAACTTGTTTCATAATTGTTGTAAAATAAATAAAGTTTTTTGTTTTAATATTTCATGAGAGTCATTGACCAAAGCTTGAGTATGGATGTTAGTTGTTACTACAAGTACTTACAGCTTTAGGGGGCGTGGTGTAGAACAGCTGACTAGAGGGACGTTGGTGACTCGCACCTTCCTCTGAAGCACCACTGGTCATCGTTTCGGAGGAAGCCGTGGAGTCTGTGTCATCATCGAAATTCCACGCAGACCCTAAAAATTATTAACAAATAAAATAATCGTAAATTTGTCTACAAATACCCAAACTCTATAATGATCAAACCCTGTGTGTCCTTGTTCAAACGATTTAAGGATGCATTAATTATCCCCATATCACTGCGAAAGCCTGAAAGTATCAATCAGAAACCTTTTCGCCAGTATGGAAATATCTTAATTAAACCTTGCAGAACTTTTTGAAAAGAATTAAGATGGAATATACAAACAAAACAAATTCAACAACAGCATTTTGAAATTTGAATAACGTTTCACAGGTACTTCATATTGTGACCTTCTTCTTGAGATAATGAAATCTGAAAATGGCTTGGGAGGCGACATATCTACAAAATTCATCAACATTTCGCATTAAAGATTTGGAAAAAAATGGTTTAAACATTGACCTCAACAGGTGACCTTAACCTTCAGACAAGGACTTTGTAATTACAATGTTAAAAAAACTGAAATTTAAGTTTCCTTTGTATGTTTTGTTTCATGAGTACGGAAAAAAAATCACCCATTCATGATAGTCTTTAAAATCTCACTCAGTGTACAGTGCCGAAAGTTCAGACCCAGACAAAGCCTCATTCTGTATGTTAAAATCGGCCCTCAGGTATAATATTTCTCGTCCTCCGTCGCACAAAGGTGATAGGCTTTGTAATATACATCAGGGTGTGCTTTTCATTCAATGTGTCGATATGATGTGTAAAAGTAGGGTCGACCAATGGCCCCTCTGCCGACATTAACTGATCGCAGTATAGCACTTAGACATTTTCCAGTCCACGGAACAGGCGAATGCCGTCATTCCATGTCCATCCATTAGTGGCAAGACCAGTATCAGCAACAAATATAACATAACATGTTTTACGTACAAACGTCTCCTTGCCTCGTAGCTCATAGCAAGATAAGTGCAAATGATTTTGGAACTGTTATATCGAAATCCCAGTCGGACATTTCTAATTTACCTGTTACTCCTTGAGATGGATAGGAGTTTGCCCCCACCCCCTGGGGATTTTTTCCTGGCCATGATATATTTTTTTAGAAGGGCTGTCATATACAGAGTGAAATTCTGCTTATTTTGGAAGCTGGTCGTCAGGGACTTTTGACAACATTTGTCCCGGTGAATACACAGCATGCATGGTGATGTTCATCAGATAAGTGTCAACTCGATTGAAATGTCAACATCGAATGTCTGGAAAAGTCCATAAATATCTATCTCTTCAATGCAACGAAGGGGAACTCCAATCTCCATTAACCTTTTTATAAAATGTTCACCTCCATGGAGTATTTTTTGAACCATTTGGTAAATTTTTATCTTCTTTGGTAAACATTGACATTTCTGGTAAATGTATCATCTTTCTGGTAAGCCTTCATATTTCCCGTAAATATTCATTTCTCCAACAAACAGCATTAGGACGCACAGTAGTCTAGTTGTAGGACGCCGGGCTCGACACCGAAGGGTTGCGGGTTCGAGTCGCGGCACAGCACTGTGTCGTATCTTTGAGCAAGATACTTTACTCCGCTTGTTCCAGTCTACTCAGCTGTAAATGAGTACGTGGTTGGGCAGTGCTAGAACTGTTGAATGCTAGCTGTGAGTGCCGAAATGTCAGCACCGGCTGTATGCTCCCAAGGGAGTTGAGAAAGATATTGGCTGGTTGCAAAGGCCCTTAAACCATGGATAATAACTTGTGAATTGCTTCGAGACGACCTACGAACTAGGTTGTGATAAAGCGGTTTATAAGAACCTCAAACTATAATTTTTATCATACAACAGGTAAACAGGATCATTAGTAACCATTCATATCTACATGTGGTTAATGTTTCTCTCTCTGAATCTTGTCTTTTTTATCTCTGTTTGGTGATGCATTTATTATCTCTATTTGTTTATTCATTTTCTCTCTAAATCTGATCTTTTTTGTTTCTCTTTAAAGGTTTTTTATTCTTTCTCTAAATCTGGTCAGTTTTTTTGTCTCCAAACTTATTTCTTATCTAAATCTGCAGGTGTTTTTTTTATTTCTCCATATCTTGTAATTCATTTTCTCTCTGAATTTGGTCTTTTTTATATCTCATCTGTTATCTCCTTATTTGATAATTAATTCACTTTCTCTCTTAATTTGGTCTATTTTATCTCTTTTATATTTCATAATTAATTTTCTCCTTATATGATATCTCCTTATTTGGTCATTAATTCACTTTCTCTATAAATCTGGTCTATTTTATCTCTATCTATATTTCGTAATTAATTTCCTCTCTAAATGTTGTCGTTTTTATCTCCCTATATCTGTGGTTATTTATTTTCTCTCTTGGGTAAATCCTCTTTTGATTATCCTCTGGCACATTAAACCTTCGTGTCTGGAACTCCCCAGAGTCTGATGGGAGAGCCGACGATAAATATACAATTTGAAAACCTGTCATACAGCGTGCCTGATAAAAATAGCAATATATATTGATCCGCAACTGTCTCTATGTTGACATATAGGTACCTACAGCACATTCTATAATGGGTACGGGCCACACTGCTTAGCAGAATCCTTCCTCCATAATCAAAGAGCTCCATTATTTCAACTTGATTTGTTTGCTTTTCTCTCCAGAATTACATGAAACAGATTTCTGCTGCATTATTAGATTTTTTAATTTTTATTTCCATGTTAATTGAATCATTTGACCAAATAAAACCATCGGGCCAGCTAAACAGCCGACATTATCGCGTCTTTAAGTTAACCAGACCCCCCCGACATGGTATTATGGATAGGTTTAGAAATGTAATATTACGATAAAATATCTTTCTGTACATGTCCCTAGTGTGCCCTAATGGCCTAGAGTTTGCAAGTACAGAACGAGTCTGTGAGAATCTCGTTCATTCTTTGGTTTCCGCTTCGGTGATAGGCCGTCAAATGACGCTGGCATTTTGCCTGTATATTTCAACAATACTAAAATAAGATGTCTCCCAATCCAAACCCTTAGTGGTAGTATCCTGAATGACGGCGAGAGATTGTAAAGTGAACATCTCAGAAATTCTCCTTTTTTATTTAGTTTTAAAGTGACAGGAATAACATCAAGCCGAAATCATATGCCACCCTTAATGTGGACAGTTCTAAAGCAAAAAAGATCACTTTGAGTCTAGTGCCTCTTATAAGCTGATTGAGAGCTCTATCCAGTGTAAAATTCAAAGCAAATTGCAGTTATAATTGCTGCCTGCTGGAAGGATGGCAGTTTTATGTAGAAGTACTTCCCCCACATGCTGGTATCAATTCCTTTAACTGGGTAGACTGGAGTAAAGTGTCATATTCAAAGACACAATGAATTGACTAAAACAATCATGGTGTTCAGGGACAAGGAAACTACAACAGTCACTTACTAATTCAATGCTGGGGTACATCCCAGTGTCCATTTCTCTAACTGAGTAGACTGGAGTAAAGTGTCTTAGTAAATTGTCTTTTTCAATGACACAATAGGTTGACTGAAACAATCATGGTGTGAGGTGACAAAGACATTACAACAGTCACTTACTAATTCAATGCTGGAGTACATCCTAGTGTCTATTTCAATAACTGAGTAGACTGGAGTAGAATGTCTTAATAAAAAGTGTCTTATTTCAAGACACAATGGGTAGACTGAAAAAATCATGGTGTAATATGACAAAGACATTACAGTAGTCACGAATTAATTCTGATGTCTTCAAAACTTACATGTGTTAATCATTTCCAGTAAATGCTGGTTAGATTCAGTTTTATTTTGTTTTAACATCCAATTAACAGCTAAGGTCATTTAGGAACGTGTCTTACTGATGTGTACTACATGTATCACTATGCATTTGTGTATGTGTGCTGAAGGTAGGGTATTTGGTGTATTTGTCTAATTGCGATAGCGTGGATCTGATGCCGAATTAGAGTGTGGATCTGATGCCGAATCAGAGTGCTACCTCACATATATACCGTGCCGAAAGCACCCAGCACAGTATTCCATACCTGGTCACATTATACTGACAAACAGATGACCCAGTTGTTGGCATTCTCTTGAGATGGAACTCAGATGTCAGGAAATATCTTCTTTTTACCTAATTACTGGAATGTTAATGTAAAAAAGACTTCCAGCTTTCATAAGATATTTGATAAAAATGTCAACTAGCTTAGTGCAAAGCTATAAAACAAAACCCCATTACCGCAGAAAAACCCAAAATCAATTGTGATCAATGCGTGTTAAACTCTTTACAATGATGAAAACAAATTAATGACTAAAAGAAAACGTTTTATCTCAAAAATCACTTAAATTATAAAGAGAAATTTACAACGAAACAAATTTCTATCAAATGTCACGGTCAAATTACATGCAAAATTCTTGTAAGTTACCGAAAAACGTTTGTAATCGTATTATATCAAAGTTTCATATCAATCTTAGTAATCATGTATCAACAATTGTATTTCATTTCTTCAAATAGGTTATTTTTTGATGAATTTCAAAGGGAACTAAATTGGTCTCAAGAATATTAGGAAGAAAAATTCATAGGGGGAAAACATGGTACCTAGTTAGGGAAGGGTAAAGATATCTGTAAAAATAAATCGGGAATAAACTTAATAAGAATGACAATTTTGAAATATTAGGTCATACAAAAATTGGCAAATTCTGATGACTAATTACATAATTGAGTCAGTAAAGAATTTCTATGAAAAAAAAGGGGGAAAAAAAAAGAGAAAAAAATCTTTTGATATAGAAAAAGTCACTATGGTAAAAACATGAGTACCGATATTCCTGGAAAATGTGATTGCGGTTTATCACGAGGGCAGACATCTCCAGGTATTGATCGGCCCCTCAATCACATTAATTCCATCCTGATACCATTCTGACCTGGGGAATTCGATAGTAAGCCCTGATAACTCGAACACACACTCCGCCGTGGTATTACAATGTAGTATTACATGTTGCGTAATATCAGTTAAGGGTACATGTACCGTTAAGTTAAAATATATTACCGTTTGTACGATAATGGAATATTTGTTTAC